GTATCACCAATCAAAAGTGAAATACCTGGAGGTAGAATGTTAAGAAAATTAAAGAAAAGAGAACGAGAACAAAGAATAATTGGTGTGGAAACGAAAGAACAATGAAATCTGAGACGATTGATTGACATTGTCTGTCTGACAGCTTGTGGATTTCAATATTCTATGATATTACACGCAATCCTGACATTTTAGAACATCTAAGGCAAATAATCGAAGTGAATAAAAAATTTGACGATTTTTCAAGCAGATTTAAGACGGTTAAATAAAGTGCATACCAGGTTTTCTTTTCAAGCTTTTACACAGTGCTGAATGTGCAAAGTATTTTCGATAATCTTCTTGATTTCAGGAGAACATCGTGGACAGAGTAGAATATTTGAGCATTATTATATGTAAGATAGTTGGAAGCAGTATTCAGGAAGTCCTAAATTTAAACATAAATAATGCTGAAAGTCATCCGAAAGTTTTCAACAATAGTAATAATTATTATTTATAATTGATGAATTGTACCTGGTTATGGAATTCAAGATGTGTGCTCTGTCTAGTTCGGTACTCGTCAGTTGGATATATCTGGATTCCGGTGTTGATTTTCTCAATGGATTTCTAGCTCAATAACTTTCACTCCAAATGTCAATGTATCTGATATGCTACTGAGTAAAGATAGCCACCAGCTTATTCAACGGTTAAGATATTTATAACACAGGGTTGATATTTGAAGTGAACGATACTGTATTAGGGTCCGTTTGTGAAAATCTAAATTGGGATTCAGCTATATCGAACTAAGGAGTCCCACACAGGGTTAAACGAGCATTCTGGATTACAGTTATTTATAATTTAATTTATTATGGAAAAAAATCATGTAACATACCGACCGGTTACACAAATCCAAACAAGGTTTATCAAATTCAATCTTGAATATCAACAGCAGAATAACTTGAACCGTTACAAATAATCACACGAAGTGGAGATGTTCTTGAACGATTAGAAATGGAGTTGTAAACATGAGCAAAAGCAAACTGATAAATACATAAAATCTTAAACACGCTATTTGCTGCTTCATACTTAACATAAATATGTAAATAGACATTAATTTAGTAAAAAGTCTTTAATCACCGACTGCTAGATACAATGAACGTAAGCATATATGAGACGGTGTCTAGTGAAGGTTGGCATAATCTTCAAGTTCTGTTTTCTTGAAGATTAACTTCAGTTGAGAGTCACTTAAAAACAGGATAAACTGGATAGGTATTTCGTCCTAGATAAAAACTTTTCATAGTCCTATTATAGATCGATCTGGCGACCTTCAGGTCCCTTCGAGAAAGATTAACCACTATAACAAACGGATAAGTATCGAATGGAACAATTTCAACTCCGGTCCACTTGTGATGTACCGTCACCATCATCCAATACCACTTCTGAAATTCCTTTATACCCAAGATGTCTGAATTACTCAAGGATTGCGCGGGAACATAAATGGAAATATATTAAATACTGAGACCGAGCAGATGATTTGTAATGTGACAGGAACGCAAATGCTATTCGTAATGCGATATTCATCTGCGCACATCTTCGAATACTATTCATAACTGCGAAAAAGAACATTTGATAGAGAAGTAAATAGATTTTATCTAGTAAAAACACGTTGAGATTTATGCTGAAAGCTTAGTCTATTTATGAAGCATTAGCAACTGGGTTCCGGTTTTAAACATAACAATACGACGACCTACTAATTATTTGTAAGTAGATCACTGCTACTCACTAGTACTTCAGGAATAACCTATTGAAGTCAGTCACTAGCGAGCATATGATGATTACTATAAGAAAGAGATTGTGTAGGTATTATAATAATTTAATAGTTGAGTTCATAAGTCAACCTGGTCGTTTCGTCCTAGTACGAGACTCCTCAGCAGTGAGTATCTCAAAATATCATAGCTTATTTATACAAGCCGCATTACTGGTAGTGTGTTAAGATTGTTTATTCTTACTGTATATATGATGAATATTCTTCACTGACATTCACTAAAAATTTTAAAACTTATTTCATATTAACTGAAAAACATGTTAGATTCTAAGGTCTTTGTAACTAACCTAAACATTAATTGAATCCTAGCGAATTGAGTTCAAACACTGGAACATCACAAAATCTACAGATTCATGTGTTTTAAAGTGTTACGTCCTTGATCTTTCTACTCAACAAAAGATGACTCGCAATCTTGATCCAGTCCTTGAATGATAAGTTAACTGGTTTAACCTCGAGGCTAGAAATGCGTGAGTTTGAAGTGAGACTAGCTTCTTTGTGTAGAGAGGAAGACTATCCAATCAGCTAATTGGCTGACAAGGGCGCGAGAGAGAAGACGAGTCGACTGAAGAACTACATTCTTATACCTGATTAGATAAATAAATAGATGACCAAAACGCAAAAACACTTAGAGGAATACAATACAACCATTTACGCAAATTCTGTTATTAGTCCTTGCTGCGCCCTTATGCGATTTGACTATAAATATGCCTATATAATTGCTCACTTATACTTATTCGCATCTCCGCTTCAAATTCGTTCGATGTGCTTATAGCTTTGTAATCTGCGCTATCTGCTAATAAATTGTAGTTGCCGCTTCTCATTACTTTCTGGTTTTAAACACCGTTGAAGATTTATATTATAACGGTTATCAAGGTGATCGATTAACGAAGCAAAGCCACTACAGTATGGGTGTTTTCAGTCGTGATTGGATCGGGTACAATAGAAAACTAATCTACTTTCAATCATTGCCTTCTAATTTGTTACTGGGTTAGAAAGGGCTCGAGTACCAATGTTTTAAGATGTTAGGTGTTGTTCATAGGTCAGTTTGTTGATTCTCAAAATTGGTCACCGGTCCTACTGCGATATGGGTGAATCAAAATCTCAACTCTGCAATATTGTACGGAATATGTTTAGCCATAAAAAATCAGCATTTCTAAAAATATGACACAAACCATTTATTGCAGTAAGTTTTTCCCCACATTGATTGATTAGTTCTTTTTTTATTCGCAATACTATCATACTTCAATCAAAACATCAAGAAGTACAATTGAATCATCGGACTAGCTATCAGTACAAGTCATTATAACAATTAAATATGTATATACATTGCATAGATAGATTTCTTATAGATAATCTACTTGGTACACAGAATGTTGAAATGTTAGGCAGTTGACTAGAAACCCTAGAAATAATTTTTGCGGAAGTTAGCACTTAATACCGAGTCATACCTAATCTCTAGGGAACGAATGGTTTTCACTGTAACCCATAGATTAGTTACTCGGTTTCATTCTGAGACATTACTAGTAAGCTACTCAGGCTGTGAATGAATCTTGTATGACTGAGATAGTAGTCAATGTTAAACTTAACTAGGTGTTGTTCATAGGTCAGTTTGTTGATTCTCAAAATTGGTCACCGGTCCTACTGCGATATGGGTGAATCAAAATCTCAACTCTGCAATATTGTACGGAATATGTTTAGCCATAAAAAATCAGCATTTCTAAAAATATGACACAAACCATTTATTGCAGTAAGTTTTTCCCCACATTGATTGATTAGTTCTTTTTTTATTCGCAATACTATCATACTTCAATCAAAACATCAAGAAGTACAATTGAATCATCGGACTAGCTATCAGTACAAGTCATTATAACAATTAAATATGTATATACATTGCATAGATAGATTTCTTATAGATAATCTACTTGGTACACAGAATGTTGAAATGTTAGGCAGTTGACTAGAAACCCTAGAAATAATTTTTGCGGAAGTTAGCACTTAATACCGAGTCATACCTAATCTCTAGGGAACGAATGGTTTTCACTGTAACCCATAGATTAGTTACTCGGTTTCATTCTGAGACATTACTAGTAAGCTACTCAGGCTGTGAATGAATCTTGTATGACTGAGATAGTAGTCAATGTTAAACTTAACTAGGTGTTGTTCATAGGTCAGTTTGTTGATTCTCAAAATTGGTCACCGGTCCTACTGCGATATGGGTGAATCAAAATCTCAACTCTGCAATATTGTACGGAATATGTTTAGCCATAAAAAATCAGCATTTCTAAAAATATGACACAAACCATTTATTGCAGTAAGTTTTTCCCCACATTGATTGATTAGTTCTTTTTTTATTCGCAATACTATCATACTTCAATCAAAACATCAAGAAGTACAATTGAATCATCGGACTAGCTATCAGTACAAGTCATTATAACAATTAAATATGTATATACATTGCATAGATAGATTTCTTATAGATAATCTACTTGGTACACAGAATGTTGAAATGTTAGGCAGTTGACTAGAAACCCTAGAAATAATTTTTGCGGAAGTTAGCACTTAATACCGAGTCATACCTAATCTCTAGGGAACGAATGGTTTTCACTGTAACCCATAGATTAGTTACTCGGTTTCATTCTGAGACATTACTAGTAAGCTACTCAGGCTGTGAATGAATCTTGTATGACTGAGATAGTAGTCAATGTTAAACTTAACTACTTTTCTACTGCTGATTGAATTCAGTTGCAGTCATCGAATCGATTTATTTCATGTGTACTATAATGGATATAGTACGTGATTAAAGGTAGATTATATAATAGTAAACATTCATCACCAATAAAGAATGGTGAATAGTCATTTATTCAGTTAACAAAATTCATCAGACCGCAGGTGCATCTACTCTTTGTGTTCTCCCAAATTCTAATCTCCTGAATCCTCCTTGACTCTTTTTTTCTCTTTCTAAACTTATTACACTGGATTATACTCTTGAAATAACATCTTCAAACCCTAATCTTTCCGATTATTGCTTATACTCTTACCGCCTCTACCACTACGTGATTTGAGTCGACAACTGCATCTCTGCGCTAATGTGGTGTGACAACTTGAAGTGATGTACGTACGTACGAAGTTCTAGGTCGTTACTGACTGACTGACTCTGTTTTTTCACATAAATCCCTTCCATTCAATCGAAAAAGAACAAATATTTCTATTTAATAAATATAATTTACAAATATTTACAAAATAAAAAAAACACAAATACACCATTCTATCATGGATTTGTACAGAAATAATATTTGAAGCAAACAATTGTTGATATTATTTCTTCTTTTTCCTAACAATCAGATTACCTAAAACACAAGGGAAAATAAGTAAACAGTAATGTATTATTATTATCCAATGGTGTTAATGTTCAACTTCAATCGATCCATGATCTCTAGTAACCCTTCATCAATTGTTTGAGGTGGTGTCACACCCGACACGAACTGAACTCCACAGGTCAAAGCCTCTAAATAGAACTTCAGGAGCATGATTATTATCAGTATCGGGATTTCTGGAGGAGTCCCATACTAGGACGAAACGGCCATACAGTACTTTCAAGTTTTTAATGGTGGTCCAACTTAAATCGGCTCGTGAATTCAACTGTGAAAATACTACAATCTTCACAAATCTCCAAATTGATAATCTTAACTCATTACTAGATACCTGGATTTGAGCAACTTTTTAAGTGTATGGGCTAAAGATGCAAAGTAGCTGCTTGAATAGAACTAACTGAAGTGGAATTCACAGTTTTCACAAAGTGGAACGCATCAATTCACAGGGCCACTCATTCCAAAACAAATTGGAAAGTATCAGACGAAATTACTTTGAAAATGAGGCAAAATATACTTTTCAGTCAATAATTGACTTAAAATAAACAAACTTTAAATGAAGCACAGCAACAATTGGTTTGATGGATAACCATGAAGTATTCACTTTGTATATTTTAACCTGGCTGTAGATAGTAATGTGCATCTATAACACTGTAACAGGGGATCAGACCCAGGTCCTACGGTCTAACATGCCAACATCAAACCTTCAGAGAGCTGAGCCAACGGTATCAATGACTAACTGCAACTAATCAATGATATTGTGCGACCATTTTTCATCATTTTCGATGGGTATGTGCCTCACACCCAGACGGTTTAGCTCCACTGATTAAGGATATCTGTATCAGCTCCCACATACTCAGGTACAGTTCAGGGTAGGGAGAGCCCGCCTTCCCACTCCGAATGCTATCATAGAGCCACTCTCAGGAACGTCCCACTCAATACGGAAGTGCTGTTTACGAAACTGAGAGGAAGAAAAGTAAATGTCCAGCGTTTTAAGCGGATTGACAGATATAGAGGATCCAAATAGAAAAGTCAGAAAACCCTGATTCCAAATCAATGGTGAACATGGGCTCCAGAATCCTGAGGGAACAAGTGGTGTATGAAACTATTGTTGATCACCAACTACCATGGGACTGAATCTTTCTCTACTGCCTAGTGGATTAAACCTCTAGGTCAAAGGCTCGTGCAGCGGCGTTCTAAGAAAACCATCTGTTTCGATTTGGGCACCTGGACAGTATTCTAGCCCTCACATAGGTCAGATGACAAAGTGTGACACAGTTATATAACGTGACTCCTACCAACGTTTGTGTATTGAAATAAGCATCAATGTATGAAAACATGTTACAGTATGAACATCATGTTTGCTACTTGAAGTACTTACTTTTGAATGCTTTTTTCACAACTGATTTGTTAGACTTTTCATTGACTTCTAATTTCTTTTTACGTTTCTTTTCAGTTTTTTCATCTAATTGAAATTTAACCATCTTAGAATTTATTGGTTTTTCATCAGTATTAATTTCATCCTGTGTTGACAATTGACCAGCACGTTTCATACCTTCAAGACAAATAGCACGATGTGTTTCACGTTCAGCTTCATTTGCTAAACGTCGAGCTTCATGTTCAGCACGACGTTTTGCACGAATTAATTCACGTTGTCTTAAACATTCTGATTGATGAGCTAATTCAGATAATGTACGTGTTTGCCAACGATGATATAAAACTGTACCAGTGTTTACACCTTCTTCTATCTGGTTAAAAAAAATTTAAAAATTATTAACAAACAATATGAATTACGGCTTAATTAACTCTGACAAAATCAAAATGTTTGTTTAAATAAAGACGATTTTAGAGACATCATTGGATGTTTATTATTATTATTTCAACACATAAATAATGGTACAAAGAGGCACCAAATACATATGCGCCACACAAATCTCATTCGATATGTGTGAGGGCTGTGATACTGCCCGGGTGCCCAAATCGAAGCAGGTGGTTTTCTTAGGGGGCCACACCTCCCATTGGATGCTTAAGAGGAAAAATAATCATAATCAAAAAGTTAAATTATTGTGTGGCCCCCTAGGTAAACCACCTGCTTCGATTTGGGCACCCAGGCAGTATCACAGCCCTCGCACAAATCAAATGAGATTTGTGTGGGGCATATGTATTTGGTGCCACCATGTACCAAAATCGATGTGTTCAAATAGTAATAATGTCTGTACGAAATACATGATTCATAGAGTAGGAGCTGATATTGGTGTTCTGGACTAAACGGGAAGGGCTAGGCGAGAAGGACAAATAAACATTCCGAGTTGATATAAGACAACTAGTGTTGTTTAGACGCATCATTGGTTCCGACTTTCAGTACATTCAGGTTTTCAATAGTGGTCTAACTAAGATTGGTTTGTGATGTAAGACTATGAAAACTCCATTATCTCCACAAAATCCTGTACTGATATTGAATATATTTTAGAAATATACCTTTTGTTGGTTAAACGTTTTTCGCTACATTTTGTGGTAAACGATTCTTCTCGAACTTTACTCAACACGATTAGCTCATTTGATGATACTGAACTGTATGAAAGAATAGTTTGATCTGTCAAATTACTCGATAAGAATACTGATATCTAACGTTGATGGTATAGTGTCGGTTGCTATGTCAAGCCCACACAGCATATTCTACCTTCTGGATAGACCAATCTATTCGTGCTTCATGCCACATTTTGACCTCGTTAATTATTCGTTTATCAACCTTGACTGTATTTGCGTGAGCGAATGTGTGTGCATTTGTCATTTTACTCATCACATGTCTGTAACTTATTTTTGTTTGACTACAAATATTAATTCACACTTGGCTAAATCGAGTTGGCTAATATGTCTTCTCCAATCCGTTTTGGTTCACTCTCTCACTCGCTCCGATTGCCTTTTTCGATCGAGGATTTTATGAAATATAGGTATTCGAAATCAATTCTCGTATTTAACATATTCAATTATGTTATTCACTAACGTAATCTAAGTCGATGATTATATACGAGGATCGGTCGCATGTACATAACAATAACGATCAGCACATGATATAAAAGGAGATAATGAGCCACGAAAATAGTTCAAAATGACAGAATGAAAAGATACGTAAGAAGGAATAGCGAAACTCAAGGTCTAGAGCAAGAGAAACGAAGTATCTATGTACGACACCGTGATCAAGTCTGCGCCATGTTATCGAATGTTTTAAACTATTGATTGTGGTTATTGTAAGAGTCTCCAAACGCCCTGGTAAAGCTGAGAGTGGGGAGGACCCGCCCTCCTTATCGAAATACTCTCGCACGGCCACGTGTATACAGCCTCTGTCAGAGAAGTCTTACTCACTGCGTTCTCACACTACTAGTGTTGTTTACGAAATTGAGAAGACGAAAAGTGAATGTCCGGAGCTCTAACCGAGCCGGTGAACACGGTGAGTTCACCTAGGATAGTTGAAAAACCCTGATACCAAACCAATGGTGCATATGGGCTCCAGGATCCTGAATAAACAAATGACGTATGAACCAATCGTTGGTCACCGGCTACCATGGGACTGCATCTCCTTACGATACTCCACTGCATGTGAATCAGACCTTCAGGTCGAAGGCTCCAAGTAATTGTGTTTTCAGGTGAGTCCCGCTCTACTGTAGAACATTTCTTGACAATCCAAACAATAGTTAAGCACATATTACGAAATTTCAAACCACCTCAATATGGAATATTCCGACGACTGACACGATCAAAAAGCTAAAGCTTGCACATGTCTTCGAATTTCATATTTCAGAGCTACGGAGAAATACACATGTACTGCTCCACTACACAATCACATTTTGTTCAGCAGACAGACACTGACAAAACTACAATATTAAAGGAAAGTATGAGTAAACTAAAAGAAAAGAAAAAATTTATATCAAATTACTTTAATCAGATTTAAAGTAATTCTTGGTCCAATTTCAGTAAGTCGAATTGTAGCTTTTTTAGCTGTGCCTAAATGTTTTAATCCATGTATTGAACTAGTGCCATGACCATGTTTACGTTTACGTGATTGTATAGCATCTGCGTTAGCGAATCCAGAACTTGACAAGTGAACATCTGAAACTAGATCAACTTCTTCCATATCTGATAAAATATCTGATAATGCTGAATCGGATAAAAGTCCTGTTCTGTAATGAAAACAATAACAATAATGACCATGTTCGATTAAATTCAATTAAGAACGGAGATGTGTGTGTGCACGTACATAAAATCAAAAATTTTCAACTAATCACTTTTTATAATCAAAGACGGACGGTGATCAGTGTAATTCAGGACGCGCGTTTCGTCCTGTTTGGGACTTATCAGCTGGATATATCTGCATCCCAGAGTTGATGTTCACTGCGGGACTCGAACCCAATAGTGCTTGTGATTTAAGGCAATATCGAGGCGATCCGCACAGGATGCACATATACCAATAAGAGATTGATCAATGGGAAGATACAAACAAACAACACAAAATAAATTTAGCCAGTTTCTAGTTATTAATATACAAATTTGTCTTTATCGATAATAAATGAATCCATCTTGTCGAATAATTAGAAGGATAAAAAAGAGAATTTCCAAGAGTTCTTAGGCAGTAGTTGGGAATATGCAGTTCGAGTAAAAGATTAGTGTTTTCTTCCAGTTCGAACTGTTTTTTTAATGGCCAATAAAAATGACTGAATTTCATGTAAAAACAAAAAAAAAACAAGAACCAATGGTTGATTAATCTCTACAATAGAAACGGAATACTGCTATGTTAGAGATCGTTTCAGGATCCAATGTTATATACGGTTAAGATTTACTTGTTACATACAATTAATTATTTTTTATCGTAATCTTTCAATTAACCCAATTAACTATACGGATTAGTTCAACAGTCAATGTCTCTATTTACTGATCTGACGTTTTCGAATAACTGACCCTAGATTTCTTCCAACCTCCTTCACCGACAAATATTTAAAGTTACTTCAGTATATTAAACATTACAAAAATTATTGTTCTTAGTAGCAAAGATTACTTCCTTACTTAGTTAAAAAATCGTCCATAGATGAATATTTCGCTAAATTCGGTACACCTGTTGTTTTTCCTGAACCACTTGGACCAATTCCACATTTCAAGTCAGAGTTATCAACACATCGACGTTTCATTTTCGCACCGCCAACACCAAGACGTCGTAGTGCACGACTTATACAACGATTTTCAGTACGAATATGGAAGTGTCGAATGTAAATTACATCATTCACTTGTTGTGGTTGGTGCTGTTTTGTGTCGTCACCAGTACAACCACTACTACTATCGCCATTAGTAGTAGTATTAATGTATGCAGTGTCAACTTCTCGACTAACAAGTAAAACTCGTTTTACTGTACTAAGTTTAAGCTAAATAGAACAAATATAGTAAGAAAAACCATTAAATGATAGCAAAATAACAGAAGTGTCAAGACAGGAATAACATCTGAACATCAAACACTTTGACTTTGACAAATGATTAAAGTGACGTAACCGGTTAAAAAACACTTCCTTTTAATTTCCTTTCCGTTTATTGCTACTGGATGATGATATCTCTGGGATACAGACGTGATTCTAGTTTATATCAATGTTTAGTTACTATGCGAAACATGACAGGTCACAATTTAATGCTCATTCGGAGTACAGAGGGAAAAAATTAAATGGTCGATTGGATGCTTTAAGTTCGCTAAATGATTGTTTACATGGAAAACTTCAGCGTTCAGATGATGATGTTAATTATCTTTTGTTTCCAGATAGTAACCTAATTATTAAATATATTTCTCTTTAATTAACGGAATTGTGAATGATAGTGAATTTTTATTAATCTTTCATGAAACTGACTAGTTATTTGATTAGTAACTTCTATAACCATGATGTTATCAATCAACCACTATGTTTATTGATAGATATCAGAGTAATGAATACATAATATTGATACTACAATCAATATGAAAACTAATGATGAATGACTAAGTAGTATAAGTAGATAATATGACGGTAAAAACGTATACTGATGGTCGAATCCGCTTGAAGCCAATATGATCTGAACATAATTAGAGTAGAGAAGTTTTATGATTGCTGTCTAGTTTGATCAATTGGTTTACCTATATTCCCTGTAGTACTGGCAGGTGACCTTCAAAATACTCACTGATACAGCAATCACTAAACAACGCTCAAGATCTTAATGAATACTGGTCCTCGAGCTACTCTTCTGACTCAGTAGCCAATCAGAAGACAATAATAGGAAGCAGGTCAGTTCTAGATTGTACTCGATTCAATCATCAAATATCACACAATAATATTACTTGGAATGTATGACCACACAACGATACAATCATAATACAAAACTAGAGTATTGTGAAAAATCATTAATTAATGACAAATTTGGAACGATTAAGCGTATAACGACTGATAAGCCAAATAAAGGTCTAGAAATAGATAAGTATCAAAACACAATAATACAGGTATCCATTAAATCAAACGGTAAACAGAAGAAGAGGACCTTGATGACCAACATACATTAAAGTTTTCAGTGTTTATATATATATATATATATATATATATATATATATCGAAAAATCGATTAATACAATGCAAAACGAACCTTCGGAACATTTAATGGAGGCAGTAAATTTTGAAACATATCTACGACTAATCGTAGATGTGGCAATGGAGCGGTTGTATTCGCGCTCGTACCGCCCATACCAAATCCAGTCATTACTAACAAAGGCGGTGAACTATACTGACGACTATCGAAAACTCGACGAACCAAAGTTTGTATATCACGTTTCAAGCTATATTCAGCAACACGAAAAGTAAGACTAGGTCCATGCGGAACACGAATCATGTGTAGATAAACACCACCGTGACTACTACAACTTTTATTGGTTACTCTTTGAATTTCAGTGGTATCTGAATGATAGAAAAAAAGTGGCAGTATAATATATTCAAGTCACAGAAATAGATGTCATAACGATAAGTCAATTGAATAAGAAGCGAAATTACACTTATGGTTAATCACTTCAATTGCTCTGGAAACTGTAACGTTCGAAGTAAACCAATGTAAATACCACTTTTGCGTTAGTACACAGTCTACAACACACCGGGCAATAAAATAAAAATCTGAGGGCTACATAACCTCTGATGAACACGAACCTATTTACTGATATTCATATTTCGTGCTAATTCGCGAAAATAGCCCAGATCGATACATGTATAAATAAAGTGAATTATCTGCATTATATAAGTTACTATTGAAACTGTCAATTTTATCATAACAAGTTAAGTGCATAACGCTGATGTTTAAAGAGTTCTTAAATTAGACATGTGAAACCTAATTACTTTACATTTTCTGTTAGGCATCTCGTCTGATTCAACTCATTTTTTGTGTATTACTTTATACTACTTATTAATGTTCAGTAACCAGTTTCACAGCGTAATATACTACAGTATTTATAAAAACTACAAGCATTCAATATATCGTTTTGTGTAATTACATTCTCCCAATTTTTGTAACAATTAATTCCAGTTCTGTACATTTGCTGAATATTCGTTCAAATGAAACAGCTATCATATTTATGTACTTTTAGTCCTCATTTTGATTGTTGATAAATGGTTGTTAACATTAGAAGAAGCCGTCAGCAATTATTTCTGCTATCATGTGTTGTACCTACTTATGTGTTATCATTACAAGAAACCTTTCTCTTACCAGATAAACACATGCGTTATTTGCTAAAGGATGAGATTTGTAATCAATTTCTAAATATATATTCCTAAATAACAAAACCGTTCTTTATAAAAATCGTTGTTTGAAAATCTTAGTTACGCATGTATCTCGATTGCGTAGTTAGGCGCTGCGATAGATTTAACACTTGGATTCTCATTAGAAATGAGGAGACCTACTACAGTGTCTGTGAAAACGGCCTGTCTCTTTGAAATCATGACTTCGAAAATTTAATCATTGGCTGATAGTCGAATAATGGAACTTATTTACCTCACAGAAATCAACCATGGAGTCTACATGAACAGATAAGCTTTGAAATGTAAATCAATTAACCCAGCAAGCTAGAATAAAATAACATACATCAGCACTAACGTAACAAGACCATTCGATAAACAAAAAAGCAATTTCAATGAAATAAATTATCAAACAAAATGGGAAACTACGAACTTTGTTCAACTGAAGAATTGTCATTTTTTAACTGTTTTGCAGAAGCTTTAGCTAAACGACGGGCACGCTTCTGTTCACGTTTCTCATCATTAGGGTGTGTAAAATATAACAAATGTGTTACGTTCAGTGGACCAGCGATAGTAATAAAATCTTTCAGTACATTCTGACGGGTAACACGTAAACGGCTAGCTGTAAAGGGTTCGAAAATCTCTCTGACATCGAGAGATAATTGTTTTACTAAACTCCCAACACCAGGACGTGAGAAAACCATGGTATGTGGAGTTTTGGTGTAACGTTTTTCCTCCAATGCAAGCGCTGCATTTCGTGCATTCCGTACCGACTTTGGACGTTTCTTATGTACCATTATACACAAGAATATACTGAAATAAACAATAAAATACTTCATAAAAAATACTGAACTGTCATATATATAAAACGATAATTTACAAATGACAAGAATAACCAGTTATATACAAAACACACCAAAGTAGATTATCGTGTCTAAACGATTTTACATTAGAAACTAACATCCTTAAGATGTGTAGTCATACGGACTATCTACTTCAGAAATGACATAAACAGAAGACTAAGATTTCATTATGATTTTTGTATAAAAATATTGGGCACCAATTTTGTTAGTTTTCCATAAAAAGTGATAACTAATATATATTACAACTCATGTTACGATATACAAACTCATGTATTAGATTTTCAATCATATCGTTTATTTGAAACGTTAGTTAGACGATCCCGCTGTCCACATCGAAGTAAATATTCTTGAGATAGAAACTATACCCAACCAGATGGTTTAATCATTTTAGGTAAGCTACTGTTTTATACACAGGAGAGAGTTACTTCAAAAGATAGCCAAGTCCCTGAGTAATGGTAAGCTTAATGTCATGCTGTTCGATACGGAGATGCAGATCAAATATCAGAAATATATCTAGCAAAGAGATAACCTAGCTACATGATTGATTTGACAAAGTAATGCACCATTGGGTTCTAATGTTATAGAGATATGAAGTCAGTAATATATCCAGTTCCTTTACCCCAATATAGATTTGTGCTCGATGTGATCTAAAGTGTTATTACAGGAATGAGGATGATTTTTAATTCTCAAAGGTTCACACTGTCAGAAAAAACCTTTAGAACAATCTGGAAATCGGATTACAGATGAGTTTCACGGTCTGATAAAGTGCTTAAAGGACAACCATTTTAGAATGATCACACAGTATTTCTGTGAACAGTTCTAGATGGGTTAACTCTGTATTTCAAGGCTTTAACGTCCGATGCGGGAACCCATGAAACAGAGTGAAGTACGAAATATTTAGGATGGACTTCTTATATATATGGAGAAGATCCCTACTGTCCGTATGCAACCTAGTTAAAACATATGAAATATGTGCATATTCTCAAGCATAAACTATGCCTAGATACTTTTCGATATTATTGAAGCATAGATTACAAAACAGATTCAATCAAGCATTATACAAAACAAACAAACAAACCAAAAAAAATGATGAAATGAAAAACAAGATGTATATATTTATATCATATATGATGATCAGCTTTTTACCCGGTTATTTTAACAATATAAACAGTACTAAAATACTACAGAATAATTTGAATAGTCAAAGGAACAAAGAAGAAGGAATAGATTTATTCAAAAATTAAACAAAAAAGTGTTTTGTAAAACAGAAAAGAAAAGAATTTTTGCAAATCAACATAAAAGCTAAGTAACTCAAACATACTATCTCACTTTTCAAACTCCCAAATATACTAATCACTGTACTTATTATACACAATAAAACAATTGGATGAACATAAAAGTATAAACGTATATAAATACCACATACAAACAAACATATAGACATATTTAAGGCTAATCAAAGATTGTTACCAACACCATTCAGATGACTGTGAATATACGAGAGGTAATAACTCATATATGAGAGCGAACAAATAAGTGTAAAAATAAACCATGAAACAAACAAAATAATTTATGAAAATAATTCATATTAGATATGATTCGAAAAACGAAAGACTGTATTGTTGATGTATATTTGTTTGTGAAAAGAATACTAAACGAGTGATTGGTAAGTTTATGACAAGTTTTTTTTTCTTCTTCTTGGATTATTATTTTTTTTTCATACTACACAGAATGAGCCAATTCCATATGAGTCGGTAGATCACTTCGTAGACAAACCTGTTTAACAAAGAAACAATAGTAAATTGGAAAATACTACGATTAATACAAGGTTTTAGAAGATTGTTGAATGGGCAGTATTTAGTTAAATAACTGTGTTTGTAACCCAGAGACTACTGGATAATCAAAACATTGATCACAAGATCCTAGTGAAAAGAAAAAAACTTAGCAATAAAATAGACGATCAATCGATTCTTCATCAAATGGTATATTTATAACACAGTTTTAATTAAGAAACATTAGTCATCTGAATCGTCATTATTCTAGACCTCAATCAAATATCTAGTAACTTAATCAAGATGAAACTCTGTAAGTTGGATAATTAAAAGAACATTATCGTTAGATCGCCTCCGGTGTAGGAGGTTGAAAAGACCTAGAAGGTTGTTAAACCAGGACGTGATAGCAAGTCATGAAATTAATGACGGTTGGACTAAACTGCATAGTTCGCGTTTATACATTATTGTAACCGACAGTTAGAGACACTGAGTGACATGGCTCAGAATCGGTCAAAATAGTGAAGATACATTCACTATTTTAAAACTCATAGATTCTGTTCCACAACCTAACATTCCATTCTAGAATCACATTATCTTCTGTCGATCTGTTCTAATACTAATGACATCAATATTATTGGCATTATTACATCTCAGTGATCCAGGACTCGTAGCGACACCTGAAGGTCATGAGTTCGATGACTTGCGAATTCTTAAGTTCAAAGTACTGAGTTCTTTGCCAAGGTGTAAAAGTTGTATAATGTTCCTTGGTTTACAAAAGTACCCCAGGTGAGGTCAGTTTGTGATGAATACAAACCACAAAATTATCCTGTTGATATTTTAAACTATTAAATTAAATAAACATCATCAATTAAGATTTTCCACAAGGCAGTAAATGTTAAACATTAACTGTTTAAAAACGAGTCATGAAAACCAACTTACTTGACCACATTCCTGGCATGTTTGCATTGTTTTTAGGACTTTCTTTGACCATGGAGGAAGAGCTAATATAGGGATTTTGTTGCGCTTAAACTGATGACCACTTTTTAACAAAGCTTCTTGCATATCAACTGGAATACGTGGAGATCCTTGTGCTTGCAGAGCACGAAGTAAGGCACGTTGAAGCCCTATATCAGGCAATAAGGAAATCATCGGACCTATCCAGTATGGAATATCTAAAAAAAGAGTAATACTCTAGGATTATATAATAAAATAGTGATATAGAGCACATGGAAATATAAGTGATGAAGAACAGTCAGCTATGATAGTAATTGTTAGTAATCGACAGCTACTGCTGTTGACTGACGGAAGCTCGTCCGACTCATTCGCATCACTGGTAGCGACTGGTATGAGCGAAACAATATGTAAAGTTAATCGGATGCCAATCAACAACATCTACCAACGTCTTGGACAATAGGCAGTTTGTCGACGAACAGTCCAAATGGTCTGCTGCCTTGGATATGGCGAACTGATTGTCCTGACCTCCATGACCGGTGACAACTGATCCACCTAAGGAGGTGGAAGTCCGCAAGGAACTCCAACTCATTAGCACGCTCCGACTACAAGGTTTCTCGGTCTCTAGCAAGCTTTTCACAATTTCATTACGTAAAAATCTTCGTTTATGGTCATACTTACACATCGACGTGACTAAACGAGTTGGAGCCTATAAAAACTAAGTGTTTATCTTACGCATCAGTGTCACTATCTTGAAACACCGCTTTCGGTCGCTTGGACATAGCCTATGTCGTTCCAGCGAATTCTACATCGTCCGTCATTTGCCGACGATGGAATCGGTAGGAAAGGGCGGAGAGGTAGTCAGTGCACAACATGGTATTAGAGAAAGCTGTACAGGACTGGCGTTCATTGGACATTCACGACTCCATGGTTGGGGCCCTAGAGATGGTGCAACACAGTGGCTTGAAATGTTATCAGAAATGGCTTGGAAGAAAAGCCAGTGGTGATACTGAAGCGAATTCTTTCTAGTTGTATCTTTCCAACCCAAACTGCTTCTTCAATGATTATTATTATTATTATTATTATTATTATTATTAGTAGTAGTAGTAGTAGTAGTAGTAGTAGTATCACCCTCGTACACTAATTTCTGTTCATTGTTCTTTTTTGTTACACTCACCTTCCATACTCTATCCTTTCACAACAACATTTTTGTTGTATGGCACATGTATATTTGGTGTTTTTTTGTACTACTATTTATGTTTTTAAATAAGTAATCAATAAATAAGCTCAAAAAATACGTCATCAAAATTTCTACAAATTTTTCAGAGGGAATAAAAAACCATTATACAATAACTTACTGTTATCATCATTCTGATTCACAGTATTGACATTTAGAAGACCAATTAAACCTTCCAAGTAAGCTGTAGCATTGATTTGTTTATAACGATAACGACGTGATAAATCAGCAAATCGAATAAAAGCTGTCTTGCCACTTTTATCAAATAAATCATTTTCCACTGTTTGAATTAATTCACGATTACGTGTTTCCATATCCGGTGGAGCGACATATTGAGACTTGAATAAAAATAACAATTATATATATAAATAAAGATTGATAGTGACAAATAAATAATACAATGAGTAAATGAATTATGGGAAGACAGTTGATGATGATACTATCATAATGAAGCGGTGGCTCGGTTGTTAAGAAGTGATGTTATCAGTCATTAGGTAACGAATTCGAGTTACACATCCAACCTATTTCATCGTTGGAAACCAAATCGTATATTACTAGCTCATACATAGAGAATGTAACACAAAGCCGAGTGTGTTAATCTGTACCTGGGTAAATGAGCTGCATTAATAAACACTATAATAGTAAAGTTTGTTGTGTCCGATAGGACAATAAAAATGAAAAACTAGTTGTTTAATCATACATGGATGTGAAAAAAAATTCAATTTGATAAGATATGAGGACAAAAAAACCAGTACTGCTTTCGTTTAAACTCGAATTCGTAAGACACTTCAATGAATAAGGCAGTATACAACGGTACGTTCTAAGAATAGGATAGCAGCGTCGCTAAAGATTTTGGTTGCTTGAAAGCAAGTGATTCCCATTTCGCTAAAATCAAGACCACACTTCCATAAAGCTATTATTGTACCAACATTTCTAAAATGATAATACATAACATTCGCGTTATTAGCATATAACTCAAAATGAAACGTGA